CTAATCATCATTTTCAGAGTGATAATTTCATTACTATTTTAGGGAGTTCACTATCATACTTACCAAGATAAAAAAGCAAGTGTGTTTCCATTCCATCTCTATCCACATTCTTACTGCTAAATACGAGGAAATCTTTGGTTATAACCATGGGTTTAAATATATTTTCTCCTTCATCTGTAATAATAAAGGATATATTTCAAAACTCGGTGTCATTCATATTTCATTTTGTTTAAGAGCTGCTTGCTAAACATTAATATTGTCCCTGCCTCTAGAAGTCTTCTGATATGACATATATGTGCAAAGGTATTCCTGTACTCATAAGTTTAACCCTTCAAATATGATTATGAATACTAAGTATATATATTTTCCCTTTTATCTGAATTCTTTTTAGTCAAGACTTGTGGGAGCACCCTGTGGGGCATTCCTCCTCTTTTCAACTAGATCCCAAATTCTACTTGTCATTTCCAAAAAACATAAAACTTTCGTATCATACCATGGTGATATTTGGTGTGTAATTGTGTACATGTGCAAAAATAGTCCACACTAATTAGTATTATGCATGAACATTATCATCTTGTGATAATATAGTAAAAGTGGTTATGATGAACAATTTCAATTTACAAAACATTCATCATGTGTCTGCAAGTCTCTCTGTGTGTAGTTCTGTTTATCTCAGTGCGTGTACATATGTGTGTGCTTGTGTTTGTACATTTGTGACATATTTACACTTACTGACAGTAAGTGTTACAGCAAATAACAGATTTTAGGATATGGTCACATTCAATTACTGGACTTTTTAAAATGTAATGTTAAGCAAGAATAAGAATTACCAGAAGACTGTCCCCAGTTCACTTAATATCACTTAATATCAAACTAGATGTCAAACTGTACATAATTTAGTTGAATAGTATGGCAACTATTCTAGAAATTCTCACAAAATTGAAGTAGTCAATCTCACATTCTTAAACAGGTTTTCCCACTTACTGCTTTTCAAAATTGATATTTATCATTCCAAAGTCTAAATATTATGATCTCTAGAAACTATGAGGAAAGGAAACACTGAAATAACACAGCTCATTTGTATTTTCCATGAAACAAGGATGACAGATAATGTCTGTAATATTAGTACTTTATATCCTGAGGCATGAAATTTGCAAATATGATTGAGGCCACTGAGACCTATTAGAAAGTGGCAGTCCTGTCCAGTAACAGACACTATATAAAATATAACTAAATATTAAGTAGAAATAAATTTGCATACAGGAAATTTTTGGAGACTTTTTGTTAGAATTATTCACATCTTTACATAATAGTGTTCTTTTCTATGTAAACTTCAGAAGACCTACAATGTACTTTGCCCAGATCTTGTACTTACATTGGGTCCTGTAGCTGCCATCTTCTTGCTTGTACCCAATAACTGTTGTCTCTGAGCATTGGCCATTTAAACTAAAAATAAGAGACATGATGGTTTATTCTTTATAACCTCAAAATTCATATTAAAGATCTCCAAATGTTACAATGAAATGGAGAGTAATAAAGTCAATGAACTGTTCATAGAACTAGGGCCTAATTCCTAGGCCTACCTTACTTTTTGTAATTTTTCTTTGAATATATCATCATGTTCATAATCACAAACATGACTTTCTTCATTTGTGTTAATTTTTCAAAGTGCCATGAATACTCTAATTCCTTCCTTATTCAAATGCCACTATTAACTGATTATGATTGCAACATGATAATTATCACTTTAGTATAGTAATAATATACACACAGTTTTATATGCATGTGTTTTGTATGCTTTTGTTTGTAAACTTCAGTTTTTGATTGTTGCTGTAAGATCAAAATGCTCTAATCACTTTTCTTCATAATGGTGTTATGCCCTATTTCCTTAAATATTTTCATGCCAATTTCAAAGGGAATCTGAGAAAGGAGTTAGCAAACTGCATTTATCTGACCTGTTAGTGGAATCTTTGTGATCACACCACAGATTGAATAATGTAACATGTATGGTTTTGACTCAAATGCTCATATATTCCTTCCGGCTTACTAGAAATGGTATATGTAGTGTCTCCTGCATCTAATATCAGAGCATAAAATTCAAACATGGGTTTCCAATTACAAAGATTTCTAAGAAACACCCATGGAATTGGAGACAGTGACTAACCTATAAAATAATATAATCACATTCCTAAAGATGAGGCCTTAAAGATTTTAATCAGAAACAGAACATTTTTCTGTAAATTTCTAATCTTAAATACTGAGAAATGCAAATATTCAGCTCAGGTTACATGGTTGACAATTTTCTTACTTTACATAAAATATGATTTCCAATTTATCACATTCCTCATGACTAGTAATTTGACGAGCATAAAGTCTCATAGTTCCCTGGTTCTCTATCTTCTCAACATTGTCAGCAGCTATGGCAATGCTAACCCAGTCTCCTTCAAGCTGTAAAACAACAAGGACAAAGAGAAGATAAGCGCAGGCATTGGGATGGGAAGTGGTATTTGCTTCTCTGATCCCAGTCCTAGGAAATATGCAAAATTACTGGAAATATGAATCAATAATATTTTCATTAGTACATGATTATAATTTTAGGTAAGTAGAATAACAAGGGTACTATGATGACTAAATTAACAAAGCATTTTAGACCTGGGACCTTGGGGAATTGCTCATGGTTTGGCTTCATTTGCTATTGAGGAACCCCATACATGCTAGACCAAATTTATTTACCTCATTAAGAGCATGAGCCAGACCAACTGCCAAAGCCAGAAGCAGTATCTTTGCCATGGTGGTGCCTGCCTTGATCTTCTGCAGAAGGTAAAATTAGGTTATTAGTTTTGAAGGAACTGGATTGACACAGTGTTTTATAAAGCTAATTGTAAGGAGTGCCGTGGAATCAACCAATTGTTTTGCATTACATGAACTTGCATCTTTCCATTATTTTTTATTTGGCCCTGCCGAATGCTGTATGATCTCATACCCTAAACAAATAAGCTTATTCTTAAGGTCAGGTTATTTTGGAACGATGGAATATTCCTTCAGAAGGAAAGGATTTCCCAGAGAGAGATCATTTGTAAGTAATAATTTTGCATCCAGGAGTATACCAGTATGTAAAGGTCACACAATGTATATACATATGTAATATATGATTCACTAACAAATGTGACATGCATGTTGAAACCAGTTTCAAGCCTCAGCATAACATAAGTGCAGTTAAAGGAATTTAAATCTGTGCAATGAATAATCAGACTCTTGGAAGATAAGACGTTAAAACCTAAGATTCCCTATAAGGATGTGGATATGTCTTAACATATTTTTAAACCTTTCCATTTATTGACTATATTATTCTTCCAATACCTTGAATTTACTATCATTGTCACAGACATATAAGAGATATCATTAAAAATAACTGTATAAGTAATAGAAAATGCTATTAGATGTCCACTGGTATTACATACAGATACCATTGACTAAAAAATCAAATGAAACACTCTATAAAATACTGATGGTCAGAAATACTGTGCACTTGTACAAATGAGATCTATATTCAATGGTCAGAAATACTGTGCACTTGTACAAATGAGACATATATTCAAGCTGTAAGTAATCCTTTACTTTTCATAGAACAAGGACTATCCTTACCTTGATGACTTCTTCAAAAGTAAAACCCAGGTATATGTTGTTCGTAGACATAGGAACTTGTCATAGAGTTTTGTGAAGAAACAAGGTTAATATCAGGGCTCTGCAGTAATTGTTTATTCTATGGTTCTTTCTTCTTTGACATGTGGAATAACCTACACTTAGCACTGTTGTATTTTTTTTTGGTTGGCAGATCCTCAGTTTTATTGTCCTCACCTGACTCCTTGCCAGGATTACTTGGGTCCCAGCTCTTAGAAGCAGCCCTGCACTCACCTCCACTGATCCTGGAACCAGCATATTGGCAAGTGTGATGGCTACTGAACATTGGGAGCCTGTGCTGGAACGAGAAGCCAGTGTAGACCCTGGCTCTTTATGGTCATCATCCACTTAAATCTCCTAGGCCTGTATCCTTTGCACACAACCCACGCACACTACCAGGAAGGGGGTTCTCCTATTTGGGGTGCTCTGCAGTGGGAGCTGTCCTGAACCCTGCCTTTCGTGGAGATGACAGTGCTTCATGTCCCATCAAAACTGGCAGGGACCCTGACTGTAACTGCCCCAGTTTAGCACTGTAGTCTCACAGCTCAAATGCCTATATTCCTGGAACAGCCTAGAAGATTCCAGGCTGCTGGGAAGAGGGTTGTCTTTGACCCACTTGGAGGCAGTCAGCTATGGGCGTCTCCTGATTGGAAAGACAATGTCTAACCACCTGCACCTTTCTCCAGCGGTTCCAGTATGTGGAAATCCCAGGCAATCACTACGTCTACATGAACATCCATGACCTTGTGGCTGGAATTGTCAGCCCCTTCCTCAAGAGCTAACCCAGGACTGCTTCGAGGCTGTAGCTCTGGCCTTCGAGCTTGTTCACACTTCCTATCCAGCACCCTCAGCCCACTAAATGTGGTGTGGGTTTCACTGATATCGAACCCCAAGAGGGGCAGCAAAGACTTCTGTGGCAGAGCTAGGCCATGGGGATATGTTTCTGACCTTTAATATCTGACTTCAAGAAGGGAACAGGGGAGCTCATGCAGATGGGGGAGCAGGACTGGGAAAGGGTCTGGAGCTGGTCCTGGTACCAGGCTGTGTGGCAATAAAATCCTCTCCCATCTTCACTGCATTGCAAATGACTCTGTTGTAGGCAGGGGATTCATAGAGGGCAAAGGGTGGGAGCAAATAGTCAGGTTTCCCAGGTGTCTTTACAGGCTGGGGGGGGGAAAGCCACCTCTCTC